AACAAAAATCCTCAAACGCTACTGTTGGGAAAAGGTTCCATATGTTATAATCTTTTGTGTAATTAATAATGTTTGATTTAAATTAACAAATTTTTGGTTCACAATAAATTTGTTAAATGTGAACGAAAAAATTTCATTATATATTTCAACTGCAATTGTAATGGATACTTCAATGTTATAAAAGTTCGATTGAAAAATTCCAACAAAAATATTCCATATGAATCAATTTTTTAGTGGGATTTTTGTTGAACTTTGGCAATTCAAAAGTTGAAATTATCAGCGAAGAAAATATTTTCAACATAACTTGCATATTTCGATGGAATTTCTTGCAAGAATAAACGGCTGAAAAAACTTAATCGTAAACATCAAATTCTAACTAAAACTGAAAGAAAAAATCAATGTTAAACACAAGCTTTTACTGTTGATCTCTGTTGGAATATTGGCTGTAATTTTCCAATGAAAATTATAAATATTGGAATACTTTTTGAAATTTCTATTGATTAGCATACTTTGACGTTGGAAATATGGAATATGATGACTTTTTGGTGGCACGTAGAGAAAATAGAAAAGAAATGGAATTAAAGTAAAGTGTCAGAAAAACATAAAAGGGGAAGAAACGTGTTTAATATATATATTGGGCTTATTAATTTTCCGGTAGAACTAGTTAACGTGTATAGTGACAATTATTTATTTATTTTTAATCATAACATATCAATCTGTTATCACAATTAACCATAATAGTCTAAACATGTAATTGTCAAGATCTTCCGTGTGGGGGTTTAGTTGGATGGATTAGTCTGTTAAACTTGTCTCATTCGCTAATGCAATTACGTGAATTATATATATGTGTCATCTCTCCATCTTTTTTACCCCTAAATTAATAAGTCAATTATTATATCTTTTTTTCCGAAATAGAATAATATATTTATATATATGTATATTGTAGTGATCTCAAACTGGACTTCTGATTTACTTCAGTGACTGTGATGTAGCTAAAAGAAAACAAAATTAACAATTTTGGTAAAGGAGCTTAGGATTAATTTGCACGTTAGCCCTCTGATTAAAGTAAACATATGCCCAAATTAAGTGTTTTGTTTATAAACACTTCATTAGGTTTAGTTAATCCTATTCCAAAATCTCTAGTGACGTTGATAATTACTAGAAACAGGCTATAAAGAAGCCCTAATTAACAAGTACTCGTGAAATTAAATTTCATTTACTCTCATTTACTCCTAACTGTTTTATTAATGATGACTCCATGTAATAATAGACCTTTTTTGCACTTATGCTGCATAGCCCTGCCGCCCAATCAGACCCCTAAATTACAAGCGTAACATTAAATTATGTATAAATAATTGGATAGCGAGGCTATCAAGTTAAAGCAAATTGTAAAATTTTCTTACTCATTTTTTTTTTTTTCAATTAATGTTGAATAAAACAATTATATGTTATATTATTTAAGTATAATAATGTTTTAAATTATTTTGTTATATAATTGTACTACAAAAAAGACAAACTAATTAGTATTCAATTATGTGTATATGCACAAATATAAGTACAATATTATAAGTTATATGTATGTATATAATATTGAAAATAAAAATTTTATAATGGTATTATATATTTTAAAAATTTGAACATTAGTAAAAATAAACATTACAAAACGATTTAATTGCATATGAATCACTATACTGATTTGATAAAATGTAATGAATATTACTATAATTTTCATCATATTGAGGAATCATGACTAACTAATTAGCTTAATAAGTATTAATTTTGCTATTATAATAATTACTTATACATTTTTGAGGGGTTCGACTACACCGTTAAAACCTATTAATTTCCTAAAAAACATTTTTAATGAAAAAAAAAAGAAGATAATATTGATTTCAGAATAAAAAAATTTAAAAATTAAATTAAAATATATTTTTTTTATGTTTATGTAACTTTCATATACCATTTAATGTAAAATATAATTATTTAGTTTTATAATAACTATTATATGATAGAATAGTCAAGAAAATATAATTATTACTACTAAATTTACACTAAATTGTATGTGCAAATTTCATATAAAAAGTTGACAATTGTCAAATTACATACTTATAATTATTACTACAATTTTAAAATTACATACTTAAAAAGTTGTCAATTGTCAAATTACATACTTATAATTACATAATTATAAAATTGTACTAAATTTACACTAAATTGTATGTGCAAATTTAATAGATCTTTTTATAAGTATGTAATTTGCACATAAAATTTTTGGGAAAAGGTTCCATATGTTATAACTATTACTAGTATTTTCTTATGCAAGTTAAATCCAGTAATATCTTTAAAATAACTCAACACAAAGACATGCTTTATGACTTTGAGTCTCATGACATAGATTTTGGGTTGAAAATAGATAAATGATCACATGCATATATCATACGTATATTTTATTTTTCCATCTAAATAGAAAATCTGGATTTGAGAATATGACTTTGTGAAATAACTAATAAAAAATACTTATTTCAAGTAAAAATTCTTGTATGCACCAGACTAAAGCGGGGTCAACCTATTATACCTTTTAAATAAAAATACCCGATTATGTTATGAAATAACCATATTTTTGTGTTTTTTGTTTTTTAGATATGATATTTTTAAAAGTATACATCTACTAGATAAATATGAAATCTAACCGTTTAGGTCTAACTAATATCGACTGAAACAATATGAGATATTAATTAAACCAGTAGGTTGATCGGTTTGAGATTCTTGAATATAAGTATGAAATGCCATCCCATTACATCCAAACACAACCTCCAAAACGTTGTTATCCGATTTGTTAACCTTTTCTAATGATTTTTTTTTTTCATCCATGGCCTACTTGAACAAAATTCTATCGTTAGGTTAATCAACCTTGTCCATATATTTGTTAGTGTATGCTGACAGTTCAGACCTTTCCGATCTTGGTGTAAACTCCTAATCTTCATAACATAATATTTCAAAGACAAAAGTCTAAGTAGACTAATATTTTATCGAAAATAATTAAAAATACTATTGTCCATACTTAAAGCAATGAACGAATCTTATTAACCTTTTCTTGGTTTAGTGAGCCTCTCATTTTTTTCCTTTATTTCCCCTTTAATTAATTTGTTTATATAATAGCACAAAGATTATGCAACATTAGACTAACCAAATATAATTGGGTTTAAAGTAACAACTAAACAAAAATAGGGGTGTTATTCGAGCCGAGCAGAGTAACTCGTGCTAGTTCAATAAACGAGTTGGCTAGGCTCGAGCGTCGCTGTTTAAATTTGTGAAAGCACAACTTGACTATTCGAATTGTTTATTAAACCTATTTAATTGGGTGCCCACCAATAATTCAACTCGATTATTTTATTTTAAATTCAATAAAATAAATAAATAAGTTGTTCAAGACAAACTCGAGCGATTCATTTAATAAACAATCTTATTTAATTATTTGAGTTCTGACTTATTTAAATAAAAGAATAAATCAAACTCAAACTTTAATCGAAACAAACTACTCATACCACCTTTATACGCAAATTATTATTCAATCAATTATTGTTGGAATATGTTTTTTTTCCGTTTGGCATGTAATTGGGTGGCGGCCAGGTGGAGTCAACTTTACGCCATTCTCCTAACGGGTGGGCCCAACTAAACCGGTCGCAGACTCATGATGGGCTTTGTTTGCGGTTATAATTAGCTCGTAAGTGGGCTTTCAAGTTGCCGTGTAGAGGACCACTTTGGATACAACTAATGAATTATATACAAAATATCAAAGCTGCTTTTCATTCATGTGATATGGCTAAAGAACAACGTTACAATTTTTTTATTTAACCCCTAAAAGAATCAAAGTATCTTCACATAATAATTAAAAGAAAATAAATAAATAAATAAAAAAAAAGCACAATGAATGGAACCACAATAAATGAACGTCTACACGATAAATGAAACCACAATGCATGAAGAGTTACAATAATTTGAACAAGGAAACAACAATCTAAGCACAAATTGATTCAAAGATTGGGTTCAACTATCAGCTTCATTATACCTTATTGTAACTTTAACAAGAGCCCAACTGGTTGGATTTCGAACAATGAGTACACATGATGTTTCTTTTCAGTGTTTTTGCTCCTCAAGACACAAGGTTTGCTTCCAAGTTCAGTCACGAAACCGATTCAAATGAGTCTCGATTATGAGAAGTTCAAGAACGCATGTCAATTTAGCCAAGGTCAACGCCAAAGTACCGAGAAAAAGCCAAATGCACCAATGCTTTCTACCGCTGCTTATCAATGTCGTAATGAATGCAGGCATCAGCGGCTGTCTTAATCTGCCCCCATGAAACAATCGAGCAAGTTAAATTAGGATTCAACATTATGAAATAATTAAATGCAGAAGAGAATCTGGAAAAGGAGGCCATTCACCATTTTGTGGGAAAAAAAAAAGCGAAAAAGAAAAAGCCCAAGCATTTTTTTCTAAACTAGGTCTTCGTGAGAATGCCGAACATACATGTAAACCTCTCAAGATCAATGTAACACTTGATAAGTTGCTTAAACATGTAATTCAGAATGTTAAAACATATATCATACGTACATTATTTCTGAATTTGTGTAAACAAAATGAACAACTATCAAAAAACTTCTATTGAAAACCAGATCCTAATAGCATAGGAAATGTTTCTTCAATGTATTTGGTGATAAGATTTATCAGGTGCTTGTGTGGTGGCATAAGATGAGCAATCATCACCTTCTACGCTACATGTCTCATATTTATCGGCTCTACAAATAATATTCAACAAATACAAGTACAAGATGTTCCAGGTTGTAATAAACCAAAGAAATGGAAACATAACAAAAAATTATTAATTTAATGTTGCTAACTGAGTTACTAATGAACATACCTGTATAACGTTGACTAGTTGCTTGATTGCCCATCCAATAAGAGTCAATGAAAGCAGAGGAAAATAGAGCCAGCTTTGCATAGCCGCATTTACTAAAACCTGAGAATAACAGGTGAAAATAAGTGCCATAAATTTATGAATCGCTTTGCCATATTAATAACACATCGTTATAATGAGGCTTGGGCTTACTTCACTGATATTCTCAGGCTGATTCTTTCCCAAAAGAAACAAAACAATGTAAAGAACCTGCCGACCAAATCAACCAATAAAGAAAATTCCAAAATGAGGGAGGAGAAATAAATTCTAGTGCAAAAAATATTTACCTCACAAGACACACAGCAGTAACCCATGAACTTCCGATTTCCATAATAAAGCCTGAACAGCCAGCTGGTGCTATCTTTGACATCCTTATGACTACTTTTCCCCACCAAGAAGGAACTGAAAAATAAATAGACACAAGCAAAGAAAATTTGAAGTGCTTATGAATAAGAAGGCATCCACACAAGTAAAACCCCAACATTGCGTTGTGAAGACATGATACGGGACACGTAAACTTTGGAGCAAGGTAATTACCTATACATTTGCAACCAATGGCTGGCAATATCTAGAGCAAGTAATGACAAGAAAATAAATCCAGGCCTGTAAGTAGTAGAAAATCAGTGTTAGAACTACTATTCATTGGGAAGGTACAAATAACGATTTTGAAAAAACAGAGAAAGCGGAATTACCTATAAACTTGGGATAGAATAACCAAGAGACAGGCAGTACTTATTCTGGACGTCAAGAGAACAGCATGAGAGATGAGCATAAAAACATAAAGATTTAACAAGTACAAGCGTGCAATAGTCATAGAATCAATTGACTTGATACCTATCAGTAACCATGTCAAGAACAGCTCCAAAAGTTGAAACTGAAATAGAAAATGTGTGGATAGTTATTACGATTAACAACAAAGCTGGACTAATCTGATTCCATTCCACCAGAAATCAACATTTTGAATAATAACCTTAACAGGATCTTCATGAAATGCCAAATTAAAGTTCCATTTTATATTGACCATTTTTTTTTATCAGTTAACCAAAAAATTAATCAACACTCCTAATTCATATTCATATCGGATAATTATTATCCAAATTGAACAGCAAACCATAAACCTTAACCTTGATTCAATTTGCGTGCAAACCAACCATCCAATGCATCAAATACAAAACTGAAGAATAAAAACCCAAGTTAGATGACATTCTCACCCGGTCCAAGGAAAGAAAAAGAGAAAAAAGGAAAATTATAGAAATCTCACCTGATGAAATACAGAATAGAAAAAAGACGCTTGTTCTCAAAGCATATTGCGAATGCAAAGCAATTCATTATAATTCTCGCATAGCCTAGCAAACACAGAAAATCACAGGATCCTTTACAAATAGAAGTGCTAATAAATCACAAATTAAATGGAGTAATAAGTATAAAGTAGCTGATTAATTGAGACTAACCAATAACATTGGGAACATAGAGGTAAACAGTCAATGTACTAGGTCTTGATTTATCTGCCATCGGAGAAGAGCTTTGGGTATTTTTTTACTGTGAATTCTTCAAACAGCTATGGAGAACACATTGGAACACTTTAACTTTTTTCTTCAAGTTTGGATTTTGATGAATTTAGCCTTTTCTTGCTCGCTATACCAGGCTGAGCCAAATATGACAACATATCCGTGGGGTTAGTCAGTCCTCAAAACTATGAATTGAAGCTAGCAGTCCGGACCGTATTTCAAAGGTTCCTGAGACACAGCATGGAAAAGTTATAATACTAAGAAAGGAGAAGAATAAGTTAACGTTCCTCGACTTTGACCCAGAAATTAGGCGGATTTGAATTACATAGCAATGTTAGGGGTGTTAGAATAATACATAAAAGAAAGAGATAATCCTTCCTTTATCATCAGCTGAGTGGGCTCACACAGTGTCATAGAAGAAGGACAAGTTAGCTTACACATTTTGGAATAAACTTTCAAAGCTCACGTAAAGCACCTAATTTGCTTGTAACTCCTCCGCTGCTTATTAGCACAAACCCATTTGGTAAAAGCTATACAAGTGTGTACAGTTACTAGGCCCACTACACAGGAATTCATTAAAGCAAGAACCTTCTTTAATGCTTCTGGCTCAAATAAAATGAGAGCCCATAATGATTTCTCTGTTTTCTATAGGTAAAAAATTCGAAATGTTTGCCATGATTATGTTTTTCAAATATATATCGACATATCGTGAACCACTGCTAAGGAACATGATGCACAGATCCATTCAGAATTATTCTTCAAATGAGGATAAAGATCTTGTTCAACTCAAATACACAGTCAATAAGCAAGAGCACGGAATATCTTTTAGAAGACAAACACTGTGAAAAGGAGAAAGGACGAGAATACAACTCTTTCTCAAAGCAAGCGTGAAGCTGAGAACATTGGGAAAGTAAAATTCGGCACTCACTCGAAATAGAGAATGATTCAGCCATGGGTAAATGACAAAAGAAAGAATTAATACTCTCAAAGTGTCATATATAATCACCAACTAGAAGTACAGCAAGCTCTTACTTCCAAAGTCAATATCACTTGTGCAATCCATAGGGATGCTCTGGCCCATCAGTGTTTACAAAGATTCAGCATTGCATACAGATATTGAAACGTAATCCATTTTTCAAACAAATGAATCGGTTCAGCTGCAAGGGAAACCTTCCAGGGATCCAAGAAGGAATTACTGATAGGTAGGTTCACAAAGGAGAGAGATACTTACGCTTGGAGAATTGCAATAACAGATTACTCGATAAAGTAATATTCAACTTAACAGTGAAATAAAACTTGGGAGCTCGACTAAGTAGGCTTTTAAATAATATTGCTAAAAAAAATGATAAATAGGATTGTCGCAAGGTATAATAAATATAACAAAAGAAGTATATATATTATAAATACGGGATGAACACTCGGCCGATGAAGTAAATAAAATTCATTAATAAGTTAACCAAATATACCTTAGGGTGTTTAAATGTGCTGGAGCCTGGAAGCATAAGTGAAAACAACAAATTAAACTGAAAATTGGTCGGGAAAGCATTGGAAATGTAAAATAGAATGAAATGAGCCGAGTCTGTTCTCTCTTTCCCATAATACATCCGAAAGTACTTAGGGTTTGCATGCTCGTCTTACGGTGATACCTCAACGAACAAGTTTATAATAAACTTTCTTTGGAAAAGGAACACATTGACAGACCACAATAAACTAACAGTAAGAAGTTGAACAGTATGTGATGGGATCAAGAGGTTTCTAATATAGCAAAATTCAAAGGATCTGAATCTATGCAAATATCTCAAGAAAAACTGGGAGGTAGGATACACGAGTTATCAAAAGATATGCATCGAGTAAAACAACAACGCGGCCAAAAACTTTCAAAACTAGAAATGAGGGTTAAAATGAACAAGAATATAATTCAAGATCCACACTAAGTGACTCAAGACTTAGTAAAGAGGCCAGAGAGGATTGTCAAAGTTGGAATACAAATTCCAGGATCATATACTGTAAAATACGAAGTCCACACAGAATGGTACTCAAGATGACAATTCAAAGTCAATATATTCAAATGGAGCTACCAAGGGAGTAATAGAGAATTAAAAAGAAAACAAACCCATCCACTCGCCAACTAAAGAATAAAAGGTAAAATGACGAGATGAGGCGAACATCATATTCTCACATGAGACTGACTAGATTTCACCATGATCATTGAGAATAAGGTTCACAAAGATAAACTTCCTAAAAATAACATATATCTGTCCTACAAGAACAAAATTATGAATTGCTTACCACCTTTTAACCAAACAATAAGTGCACAGCTCAGAACTAACAGAATAAACGAAAAAAAAAAAGCTGAAAATTGCCCTAAAATACAGCATAAACCCGGAAACTTTAGATACGGGTGCTGTAAGGCCACGGCCCTGGTATGAAGTTCAAGTGTATATACCGATTACGGAACCGCCGACCAGTGGAACAATGAAGGTGGGAAATTGGGCAGATGAATTCGATTTTCGGATGTCGGAGCCGCCGCTGGTGGATCTCTGGAAGTGATTGATTGGAATGACAAAGGCTAAACTGGTAGATCAGTTGGCCGCAGTCGGAGAATTAAGTAGGCAAATGCTGGTTAGAAAAAAAAAAAAAAAAACAGAGACGCAGAAAGAGAGAGAATCCATCTAACATACATGGGCTGTAAGAAGGCATATGGGTTATAGATAATGAAATGGGCCTATTTTATAAATGTTATCAACCCGTTCTTCATCAGCCCACCTTCGTGAAAGGCTACGAAATTTATATCAGGAAGAATTCATCAGCCACAGTACACATACATCTGCATCACCTAATTAAGCAGTCGAAATTTAAATGGAAACGTCTATTAGCTACTGCATGCATCACCTCTAACCAACACTCAACAACGATTAAATTAAAACCCCCCACCAACTGATATGCAAATTGCCTCGAATCGATTGAACCGCAAACTAGCACCAGCGCAAAGCTCCAATGACCGGTAATACATTGGGAGAGGTCCCAGCGGAAAAGTCCCTGACGCTTAACTTTGTGATCAAAGTTAGAAAAGAGATCATCCTATATCAAGTTTCCTAAGTGGAAAGATCTTCTGAATCTAGGAGTCCTTAACGACATACACTTCTCATCTTTGAAGTATTCTCTCCCATCTTGCTGCATGACTCCTAGGTCTAGAGGTACGACCTCCTACCTACCTGCCACAAGTCTTATACAGGTCGTAACCATCCACAACCTCAACCCCACCTACCTACAGGTCATTAAGTTTCTCCTATATCCTCCTAATTAGGTCTTCAAACTTCCGAGCTACCTAGGTCTCTCTGGTACCCGAGCCTCTTAAGCCTCCCGACCTTCGAGCTACCTGAACTGTATTGTCCTGAACCCTGAGCCGCCTAACGTGAGGCTTCTTGGCAGGTGCAAGTGCTAGAGTGGATTGAGCTCTACTGAACTATCTACGACTGAGCTAACCACTCATGCCGGTTCAGCGAGCTATTCTAGATGTTATATCATCTAGCTCCCCATTCTTGAACAAGCTACCCAAACTTGTTCATTAATGCTCTCTATGCGTCCAGCCGACGCACCAGTCTTTAATGCCTTAAAATGCATAACCTATGCCTATCAGAACGTCTTTTTGGAAACCCCTTTACACACTCCCTTAATTTACACCGTAGATATATCTGTTTTCAAAATTAGTGCTCCCAATCCTCCGACTTTTGACATCTGTCAAATACATTTCCATTAGTCGATCCAAACCATTACAGATCTAATGGCTTATCTACGACATCGATCTGTGCATTTCCTCTCCTCCTTATAAAAGTTGTGTGGATCTGTGCACTCCAGTTTTTCACCTTCTTCACATTCTAAAGCTTGCCTTAGCAAGGAATGCTCCGACAACCTCAAGAATTTTTGGGCAATTTCACCAATTCTCATATCTCCTCTTGCAACCACAATGTCGAACATCATGGGTACGTATAACTGAAATTTTCACCATTTTTCCTCTCTTTATCCTTTTTTATTTTATTCTCTAAGATTCCAGCGACTGCCCATCTTCTCCTTAATGTCGTTTCATAAAATTCCGGCGAACATGACAAAATCTAATAGCACCTCTTCTTTGACCTCACACTCCATAAGAGAGCGCCTTGCTACCGCCTCGCCGACCAAGTCACCGTGGTCACATGCGAAAAGACCAAAGCCCCGTCTCTTTTAGTGAGGGTGATCAGACCTAAGTCCTAACCCCATCACCTCCTATTCGACCGACCGTATTTCCAACCTTCTCCATGAAATCTAACTACCTGGGGTAGGATTTTAGGAACCCCGAGGTTGGGAATCGTTTGACCTGCCCCCCTTGGGCTACTACAATTTTTCCTTTTTTTTTTACTACAATT